ACCGGCGCGAGGGGCCTGCGTGGTAGCGGCGCGGGGGGTGGGCGCTGCTCCAGCCCTGTGCGCCATTCGGTCGCATTCTGGGGTTTTGCAAACGGTTGCATTCCCCCGATGGTTTCTCTCTCGGTGCTGTCTGCCTTGGCGTGTCCATTTAAGAGCCCATGGCGGGGTTACTTACTTAAGAGGGTGTAATTCAGGTGCACTTCTCAGATGCTTTCATGTGTCGTTTCTTTGCAGCAATGGGATTTTCGTGGCAGAGGACTGGCTTGGACTAGAGTTGCGGCCATGCCTCAAGCTGTAGCGAGGCAACGGTGAGTGGCTTTATGTTGGTACGTTTCTCGGCCTTGTTCGCGTTCCCAAAGCTATCGTCCTGATTCTTTCCTGACTTGTTTTGTAGAGATTAATTGGAGATGTAAGCACTTGGGCGCTGTGTTGAAAATGTTGGGAGACAGAGTGCAGTCAGATGCAAAAAGAGACCTTTATAATGACCCCACGTTTCCGGCCAGTGATTCCTCCCTCTTTTTTAACTATTCCACCCCACTTGCACAGTTCAGAGGGGAGATCTCCTGGCTGAGACCGCAGGTGAGTTTTGTGATGTGATAACTGAAGTGTTTTGGTAATATTTAACTTTTTATTAATGACTGAGTAGCTTGCTTGGTGCTCAGTTGCTGTTTCTATGTCTATTACAGTCAAATCCATATACTTCTCAGTGTTAAGTTCCTTATCTCCCAGTGAAGATGAGGGTTTGTGAAATATGCAGGAGTACCTACGGCCTCAGCCAACAGAAGCTGAGGACAGCTAATCTTCTCCAGTTGTTGGCTGTAGCTTTGATTGTAAAGGGCGCCACTTTTGCTATCAGTCATACAGGTGCCCTGATGAGCTTCACTGGAGTGAAAAAGCTGTGCTATTTTTTGTGGCTACTTGCACGTTTCAGTGGACAGCTTGGTTCACACTTGGCTTGTGTTTGGAGTTTTTTTCCCACAAATGCAAGGCCCTAGAAATGTTTCAAAAATTAAAGGAGTAATAATTGAAAAGAAGGTACATTTCTGTGGTACATTCAGTAGAACAGTGGAGTATTTATGGTACTGAAAAAACTAAGATACAAAGGTGGATTGCGGATAGTCTAAGCAGATTGCTCTTCTCAGAGTGCTTTTCCTCCTAAACACACCTTTGATGATAAATGTTCTAGAGGCTGAAACTCAGTTCACGGAATAGGGATGACATGAGCAACAGCAGTGTAAGTTTCACTACTAATTTAGAAAGAAAAAAATAGAGTTCTTTCTCTGATCAATCTCAAGTTTGGTATCCACATAAAAAAAATCTGAGATGAGCATATTTTCTATTTTACTATAAATAATCGCTAAAAAAAAAAAAAAGATTTTCCAGTGTCCGTTGTGTAGCTCAGCCCACCAGAATTAGCATAACAGCAGCTCAAGAGTTGATTTTTTGTTCTTTATAATATTGACAAGAAACTGAAGAAAAACCGTATTTCCTTTTCTTACTTGAGTCACATTAAGTGGCTGGGCAGAGTATTATAAATGTCCAGAAAAAGCTCGTGTTTACACTGGACAGTTTTCAGTAATTGTTCGTCCTGCCCTGCTAATGTCCCTTAATCCTAACTTCAAGTGTTGACCCATGTAGCTAGCACTGAATGGGTTAATTCTCATTTTGCTCATTCGCGCTCCGGCTGCGTTGATGCGGTAGATAACAGTAATATCAATTTTGTTGATGGCATCTGTCTACAAAAATCCAGATGGAGAGCGGACTTGTTTTACAAAAGCCACTTTTGAGTAACCATCACAGTAACAGGGTCAGTCACTGCTAGACTGGGCTGCATTTAAACAGGAGATGCAGAGGTAAAACACCATTTATTATGCGTCTCCTGAGCCCTCCAGTCCCCCAAAACACATAATTCTTTGCCTTATATTAGCATGCAGAATTTAACTCTAAGTATTCTTCTTCTTTATTATTATATATTTTTTTTTTTTAGGAAATTTGTTCTGTTCCTCGATTATTTTCAGACAATCCACAGGAGGTTCAAGTAAAGCAAGGGGTTTTGGGAGACTGTTGGTTCCTATGTGCCTGTGCTGCTTTGCAGAAGAGTAAATACTTGCTCTCTAAGGTATGGCAAAGCTTCCTGTCATTTTTTGTGTCCTAGAAATTCTCCCTTTTGCCTCTTAACACTTTCTCTCTTTCTTTTAACCTTTAACCTCTTTCAGCTCAGGAAAATCTTTGACGATCATAGTTTGATGCTATTTTACCATCTGATACTCAGATGTATAATTTCTTTTATCCTGTTATGCAGAATGGTGGGCATTGGCTATGTTTTAAGTGGAGGTTTGCTTTAAAATAAATGTAGCTATTTATCTTGGTTTTCTGCTAGTGTTTTCTTTGGTTTCTTTTCTTCTTTTTTTCCAGGTAATCCCCCCTGGTCAACCCAGTTGGACAGATGAGAAATACAGAGGCTGTTTCACTTGTCGAATCTGGCAGTTTGGACACTGGATGGAAGTAACCGTTGATGATCGCCTGCCTTGCCTTGGGGGTAAACTCTGCTTCTCCCAGTGTCAAACAGAAGATGTGTTTTGGCTTCCGCTGTTGGAAAAGGTCTATGCCAAGTATGTGAACTTTATCACTGGAGGTGATTTTAAATTGTTACAATGACTAGTACTTACATCTTACATATATATGCTTATGGCACTTTTTCCACTTGTTTGATTTCATACTCCCTTTCTGGACTCCCAGAGTCCTCTTAGTTTTTTGCTGGGGCTGATGATGGAAACAGGGAAGTAATAGGTAGCAGTGTATTTCTTTCTCCATAACCACTGTAGTACCGTTTAGCTGGTTTTGGTAATGGATTTTTGCTTATTGTTCAATACAGAATGAGAATTTCCAGATTTTTTCTCATGTTGGAGTCTGTAGTGGTTCAATATCCTGTCCTAGATCCTTTAAGTACCATTCCATCCATATACAAGTTGAGGTCTTACTGAAATAATTAATGAAAATAATAGCTATAATGAGCTGGCCACTTGCCGACTGGAATGATGCTTAGCTAACAAATCACGTAGTTGTGTAGGATGGGAATCAAAAAGTTTTTACTGATACATTATTTGAGAACAATAAGATAGACATTGGAGGTCAGATCTTCAGCTGGTGTAAATTTGTGGAGCTCTATTGAGAGTTATTTGTAGTGGTTGAGGCTTTATGGTGTTTGGCCTAAATATTTCTTTCTTGGCATAGTGCTGTCTAGCACATTGCTTTTCTCTTATTTACCAGTCCTGCCAAAAATGATGAGCCAATAGATATAATACTAATTCGTGTTATTTTAAATTCGACAGTGTGGCCATTGTTTGTATAAAACATGCATCAAGGTCTCGTCTTAGTCAGTTTGCAGCTTAGACAAAGCAAAATATCTGAATAAGGTTGACATCAATTGTCCTACTGCTCTTGCAAGAGGCTTTCTTTAGATACTAGTAGAGGGGAGAGAAGGACCTTTTGGATAAGGCTTACTCTGGATATGTTGAAGTTAGTGACTAATCTCCGCTGGCATATTAAACTTTCTCCTTGCTGTGGGTTTCTAGGTAAACATTATTTGTTTGCCTGGTTTTTTGAGGTTGTGTTTTTTTTTTTTTTTTTACAGAGCTTTTATGATCCTGGCTTGATGCTTTGTTCTGTTTTTAGTCACTGCAAATAATAAAGACTGATTCTTTATCCTTAAAATAGAACATCTGGGAGAAAAGCTAGTACTGTTGCAAGGAGTACACGATGAATATGTTAGAGGAAGTTAGAATTTTTTTTTTAACCTTGCCAGTGCTATTTTTTTTTTTATCTTGAAAGGTAATGCAGTTCCTCAGATGATGAGGTGCTAATGACAGGTATGGGCAGTTTCCTTAAAGAAAGTAATGCATTATAGTTTGCTTCCTGTCATGTAATAGTGTCCAATAAGTGATTAAATACTTTGCAGATACAGTGAGACCTTTATATTCCATGCTAACATCATGCTCATAATAGGGAAATAGTTGTAATTCAAACAAATAATATGTTGTCTTTATTTAGGAGTAAGCTTTGAAATATGCGCCTTTTTTATTTCTCTGTGTGTGTGTGTTTTTTTTTATAGAGTTCATGGGTCTTATGAGCAGTTGTGGGCAGGGCAGGTGGCAGATGCTTTAGTTGATTTGACTGGAGGTCTAGCTGAGAGATGGGCCCTGAAAGATCCTGGAAGAAAAATGGAAAAAGAAAGGACTGGTACAGTTTTGGAGAAGACTGTGTTTAGGAGACTGATGAACCTGAAGGAACAATGTGTAATAAGTTGCTCAGTCCTCAGCTCCAGGCAAGGTAATAGAAGACTTCCAGATATTCTTAAATACTGCAGAACCACGTAAACCATCTGCTTTACTAACATTCATAGCATAAAACGTCCCACAATCTGACGGTTTGATAATTTTGCTATGTTAATAGCTTTTGGATTCAAATTCTAGTACAGATGCCTCATGGTGTAATTGTGTTAAACACAAGAGAAAAGAAGCTGTAAGAATGCTGTTCAGGCAGAGGATGTAGGAGTAGGGAAACCAGTTTGTGTACAAAGACTGGCAAGAAAGTGTTGCCTCTCTTGTAAAAAAAAAAAAAAAAAAAAAGATGATAAAATGCTTCACCATCACTGATCCACAGATGCTCAAAGCCAGCTACCAAAGGCATACTATTTCTGGGTATACTGGTACTTAACATTGTTTTTCAGTCTTCTCCCATAGGCTCTTGAATCAGAGGCAAGTAACTGTACATACAGTGTTGACAGTGTGGTTTACATGTTGATCCGTTGTATCCACAGGCAAAATGGAGGACCTAGTTGTAACTTTCTTAACTATAAGAAGGAACAGAGACTTTACTTCACCTTCCCTTGGCAAAGAGTACTGGCTAGTTTTCTACTTACTGGTGACGCATCTCTTTTTCTGTACAGGTACTAGTGAGCTGGGAGAATTTCACGCCTTTATTGTCATAGATATGCTGAACCTCTCCAAAGTCTCAGGCAAGGATATCATTCTGCTCCGTATACAAAACCCTTGGGGGAGGCGCTGCTGGAAAGGGCCGTGGCGGGAAGGGTGAGTGATTTGGTTTTCTTTATAATATTCCCTTCATAAATTATTTTAACAAGGATAGCTGTGTCTGCTGTGTGTGAGCACCAAGAGTGTGCATGTATATTACAAAGGTGAGTATACCCAAGATGCTGAAATGGAAGGGTGTATTCCAGTACTGTAGTCTTATTTCATATATAATCTTCTTTGGAGTTCAGTATTATGTATAACTCCTGGACTCTAGGGGGTTTCATTTTTTGATCTGTTGGCTCTGGTATTGCCTATCACCAGAAGTGCGAAACTCAGGAGGGTTGGTGGGCTGGATCTGGACCATGGGGCTTCACGTGACTGGACAGCTCAGTCTTTGGATCTGGCCTATGGTGCTTCTTACCATATCTGCCAGAGCTGCTGTGTCGTCATGGCCAGCAAGCAAAGGGTTAACACTGCTGTCCTGCCACCGATTTCATGCTGAGCAGTGATCAAGCACCAGAAATTCTGTTATAAGCCCCCTGAATACTGACCATGCCAGCACAGCAGCTCTGGGAGCCATAGTGAGAATCCCTGTGGGCTGTATCTGGAAGTGAGTCATTTGGCCAGAGAAAAGCCCCATGGCTCTGTGACCTGGGCCAGGTTACAATTGGCCCGTGGAGGCCATATGTTTGATACCCCTAAGCTATTCTGCTGGGAACTGTTTGCTGCTGCTCAGGGAATTAGTTAATTTATCTTCTGCTTGCCACTGGAATTTTTGGGTTTTTTTTATTTTGATCCATTATTTGATTAACTTGAGAGGCATTAGTGGGTTCCTGGTAGTCACCGAGCTCTTCCATCCTCATCTTGGCAAAGTGCTTAGAATTGTGAAATGTGGTTAAGGTTGTGCTTCTGTGGAAAAAAAATGTAATTCCAGCATAGCAATTGGGAAGATATTTTTCGTGTTTCTAATCATGCTGTTGCTATAGGCAATAAGAGCAGAAGCTGAAACCAACACTGAATGAAAAGGTGATGAAGGGGCTTAGAGTTAAAAGGAAATATAGGGATATATTGGACAGGTAAGCAGCCTGTTGTAGCATGCTGTCTGCAAGGGAAAAAGGCTGTCTGCATTTAACACTTAATCTTAAATAAGATTAATAACTAGGCACTCTGCAAAATAGTAGAGGAATGCAGCCCATACTTTATTAAACAATTGCACAGCTTTAATGCTGTGTCTTGTAAGTTGCAGAACACCACCTTGGTGCCAGTGAAACCAAAGGAAGCAGAAGGTGCCCAGCACTTAATAAGACCCTAAATAGTAAGTTTTAACTCAGATCATCATTTAACGATGATTTGGCAGCCAACATACTGATAGTCCGCCCTACTGATGTATAGAAATAGTGTGTGGTGGTGGAAAGGGGCTCACTAAGTAGAATCAAACATCCTAAAACAAATGCATTTAATTTTATTTGAACCATTTATTTTTGTACTTGGAGTCATGGTTTTCCCCTTCCTTCCACCATGCACAAACATTAAACAAAGTCAGGGTTTTGGCACAAGCACTTTTTGCACTGTCTCTATGGTTAGTGAACTAGCTGTTTTATTTAAGTGCATACTGTGCAATCCCATCTAACTCTGGTTTTGTTTTTTTTATAGTTTTTCCAACACAGAGAATGCCAGTTTATATTTTTGGTTTTTAATCCTTTGTGATTAGCAGTGCATCCAGATGAAGTAGCGAGCGCATGTGCATGACAGTAAAATGAAGAAACACCTTTCTGTGGTGTTTTCTCGCTGTGCAGCTGTGTTTTACTGAAGATTTTTGTGGAGCTGTATTGGAGTTGTGAGCAAACAGCCTGGACTTTGACTTTTGTGTGTTTGTTTGCAGTGGTCAAGGATGGAGCCAGCTGGATCCAGTAGTTGCTTCAGAACTGCTGTCGCAGATTCAGGAAGGAGAGTTCTGGGTTGAGGAGGAGGAGTTTTTTAAGGAATTTGATGAGATTACCACAGGGTTTCCAATCACAGAAGAGGGACAGCTTCAAAGCCTTTATACAGGTATGAAGGCATACAGGCATTCCCTTTAAAAATAAAATGAGTTTAATGGGGAGTCTGACTGGAATTGAAAGAGTCTTAATCCGATTGTTTAGAACTAGACCATCATGTTTCCAAATCCTTCCCAGTTTCTCCTGAATTCTTTCATTAGAAAGTTCTGGGAGAGGTTTGAATATGCAGTTGGTAACCCCTTGTGTACTAATTAAGCTTAACTTGTTCACTTTTCTCCTTGTCTACATTTCTCTGATTTACTGGTGGAAAAGCACCTCTTCCTATTCACTGGTAGCATATTTACTTGAATCTAAGATGAGTTGTCCCTCCCCCACAAACAGCATGTGGGGGGAAAAAAGACCCTCATCTTAGATTCATGTACGAAGTGGGTTTGGAGTAGGCAGTTGCTGCAGCTGTGTCTCTGGCCCTGAGCCTGGGTTGAGGCCAGAGTCAGACCCACAGCAGCTGCCTGGTCCTCTACGCTGTTTGCCCTCTGCAGCTTCTGCTCCTCCTCTGTCTCCTTCCCCCCCACCTTACTGTCATGATGCAGCTCAGTTTTGGCTTGGGCTGGATTCCCTCCCAGGCATGGAGCATGTGGAAACTCTGTCTGCTGCCTGGCTAATCAACAGTACCAATGCTGCTGCTTGGCCAAGCAGCTGCATTGATGCTGCTGCCTGGCCTGGCAGGTGCTGTGTTTCTATGTGCTGTGCGCTGGGGAGAAATGGAGTCCAGGCAATGTCTGACAGCAAGGGCAGGGGGAGAAGAAGCAGAGACTGTGGAGCTTAAAGGGTAGAGTCTGTGGGGAGCTGAGGCTGGGGGGTGCAGGTGGCAAGTGGGGCAGGAACCAACAGGGGGAAGAAGTGGGGAGGGGGCAGAGGACAAAGGGGCTGCTTGACTCCTCCCCCAAGCCACTGCTTTCCCTGAATTTAAGGCAATCCTTGAATACTTAGATTCTACACCTGGAAATTCTCATGACACATTTATAAATCATCCACATACAGAATCTAAATACTGGGTGGTTATCTTAAATTTAGGGTCATCTTAGATTCTAATAAATATGGTCATTTTAGAATGGATGACTGAAGAGTTGATGCTTCAGGCAGGGACTTTGCTTTTCCGAGTTTGTGGAGTTTACTAAAGAATTGTGTTCCTAAATGATAGGATCATAGGAAAGTACAGCTGGAAGGGACCTCCTGAGGTCATCTCGTCCAGGGTTCTACTTAAGGCAAGATCATTCTTCGCTAGGTCATCCCAGTCAAGTTTCTAGCTCATATGACAGCATTATTCCATAGCGTGTGGACAACAAGACGTTGGGGACTGAGAGTTTGAGTCCAGTCTGCAGTTGGGAAACATGAGAGAGAAATATATAAGGGGTCAAGTTAGGTCTGTATGAGAAGAGCGTGGTAGTTGAGGGCTTGAGGAAAGATGTTGCTGATGCCAAGCTGAAAGTTTGTGCCTTCCCTGTCATAGGTAGAAGCTGGTTTTGAGTTGTCATCTGGGTTGCACCATGGAACAAAAGCCTGACAGCTCATGCTCTAAAACAGTGGTTCTTAAATGTTTTAGATTCATTTTTTAGACTCAAGGTACTCCTCAGAAAATTCCCCGTCATACATTTTTCACTCATTTTTTTTTGACTATGGAAAAATAATAGAGCGCTTTTTGTGTTGCAGATCACTCAGGTGTGCAAGCGTGACTCACAAGACAAACTCAGTTTTTAAATAGGAGTCCATAGTATTCCAAACATAATCTGTGTGGGCTTCTAACAGTGCTAACGTTGTGGACCTTAAGGCACCCCAGGGTGCTGTGACATACTGGTTGAGAATCAGTGCTCCAAAATAACCACAGTAGAAGTAGTTGGTCATCAAAAAATGTCACAGCAGTGAATGTTTTAAATTTTGAGTCATATCTGTATGTGTCCTCATGGGATGTGTGGGATGGGATCAAAGGTGTTTCTTGGTGATAGAATGAATTAATTTTGTTGAAATACTGAGAGGTTGCTGTTGCAGAATTAGTTTCCATTGTGGCCTCAATTACAAGGAGCCCTAGATACACTGTATCCTGGGAAAGATTAAAAAATGATCCTTCTGGCAATATGATTTCATTTATTAGGAATTAGAATTTCGTGCATCTAGAGTCAGTTTGCATCCTTTCAGCTTCCTGACTGTGCAGAACAGTTTCATTCAGAGGCGGGAAGGCTTTTAGGTATGCTTCATGCAGACACTTCTTGGCAGGATGAATTTTAAATTGTATATTTTTATTTCACATTGTAGCATGTTCCCGGGCCCAGAGGTGGCCGTGACCCCCAGATGGCCACGCAGCTCCTGTTCTACTTAGGCTCTAGGGTACCTTTGCTTTTCCCTCGTGTGATATGCCTTTGTTGGAGTTATCCTGCACATGTTCTAGGTTGGCTCTCCTGGCCAGTCTGTGCCTCCAGGGCACCTGTTGCCTTACGGGCTATTTGTGGGCTCTGCCCCTTTACTCTCGCTGGGCCCTCCAGCCCAGGCCCACTGGATTGGACCTGGTGTCTGGGTGTCAGCCTTTGTGTTGCCTACTTTGGCTTTGGGCCCTGGGCCCTGGTGTCTTCCTCTCCTGAGCACTGGGCCCCCTGGCCCTGTCTCCACCCTGCTCAGGTGCTACTGAGACTCCTTCATCTCTGATAGTCCCAACCCAGTCTGCCAGTTTAAACTATCACAGAGGCATAAGCCCTCTGGCTATAGCACAAGCTCCATACTGGGTCTGAATATAAAGTCTTACTTCCCTGGCTGTACCACAAATTCCAAGCTACCCTGCCCTGAGTCCTGTTCCCCTGCAAGCCAGCAGTATCCTACTTGCAGGGTAGCCTGGGTGTCAGCCAGTAACTACTCTGCAGCCTTCCTGCTTAGGGAAAAATCACCCCTGCAATTTGCCTCACCCCTATAGTGAAACAGCTCTGCTCCCTCTTTAGGTTTTTTTTTCCTTCTCTGTTTTGGCCAAGTATCTGTCAACATTGCTGCTTAGGCAACTGAGCCTGGTCACCAAGGGAGCTAAGCTGTAGGAAGTCCTCTGCCCCTGGTCCTTTATTTACACACCTGGAAGGATGGGCCTAGGGCAATGTCACTCCGCTAGGCGAGTGCTGATGTTTTCAAACTGAGTGGTCTGCGTCCAATAGCACCTGTTCCTGACTGGGTCCAGGTGATGAGGTCAGCAGGGGTTATTTTTAAGGGTCCTTTCCTCCTGGAAGGCAGGCAGACATTTTGGGACACTGAAACAAGCAATCAACCTCCAGAGCTCTATCAGTCTCTGGATGAACATGTGAGTAACTTACCTGCAAAATTTAGCTAGGAGTTTAGAATCAAGTGCATTAGTTGCGTGTCCAAATGCAGCCAGCCTAGGTGGTTTTGCTCAAGGGTAATTTTCTTTCTATAGTCTGTAGTTTTGTATTCCTTCCTCACCCTATCCCTCTTCAATCAATAAATCTATCTGTTCTAGCATGCCTTGCAGTGTGTGCTTAAGAGGGAGGGGACCAGCCTTGGTAGCTCACCTTACTAAGCTGGCTAAGGTGGGCCTGGCTTTTTACACTCTTCCTGTACAGGAGGCAGCTTGTGGATGCTTCAGGCTAAAGGAAGCACCTCAGAATCTCACGGTGGGTTATGCACCCTCAAGGTCTACAGGGTCTGCGTACCCCGGAGGGGCACAGGGCCCTAACAAAAACCAGACCCTGGGTGGTGGCAGCGGTTACCCCAGGCATGCTGATGTGCTCCAGGAAGGGGGTCGGCCAGATGTAGGCACCCCAGGGTGGCACTCGAAGCTTGGTTTTTGGTTGGGCGCAGTGAGGCGAGTGGTTCAGCACAGGAGTGCCCTCTGTTGGCCTGCCACACTGCTCAGTTGCTTTTTTCCTCTCCAGTTTACAGGTCCTAGGCTTATATGCTTCCTAAGCCCTGCCTTTTTCATATCCAGAAGAGTAGGTGCTTCCGTTAAATAGCATAGTTTATTGCAATTTTGACAAATGTATGTTCACTAATGTCTAAACTCAACGTTAGCCTATCTTTGTAGAAAAGGTCACCTTTATTTTAGGTCATTTAATGGCTCTCATTGCGGCAGTATCTGCCTTGTGTCCTGACCCCCTGGCCTATTGAAAACCAGAAATACCTTTATTTTTCCTCTGTCTCCTCTCTCTCACAGATTTTTCCTGTCTTTGGTGCTGCTTGGAAGGAAAGAAGGGAGAGAGAAAATTGTAGTCTGTATAGGAGTTTTAAGCTTTCTTTAGGCTATCATTACTTTCTGTGTCTGGACTCCTGATGTCCTTTTGTGAGGCAAGTTTTGTTGGAGATCACTGTGACAATCCCTTTCACATAGAATTCAGTTTTATGGCCACAAAAATACCCTACATTATGACCTCTAAAAATAAAGTCCTTTGCACTCCCATTACCTGTTGGACTTGGGTGTTGCGTTTGTTGAGATCTTGGTCATGGAGGGTAGCTCTCAAAAGGAGCTGCAGCACTGCTACAGCATTGTTTCCAGTCGGGTGATTCTTTTAGTCCAAACTTTTGTTGCGCAGATATGATTTGTTTCCAGTGCTTGATCTTCTCTACCTTTTTCCTTCACTAGAGAAAGTGCTCAGTCATACACAGAATCTCTTTGGATCATGGGTGAAAGGCCAGTCTGCAGGTGGTTGCCGTAACAACAGCAGCTTTCCTTCCAACCCCAAATTCTGGCTGAAAGTGTGTGAGCAGAGTGAAGTGTGCATTGCTCTTCTGCAGAAACACAGGAAGTACAGTGCTGACTGGGCTGGACGAGTTCGCACTCTGACCCACGTAGCAAAGGACAGTCCATCTTTGGCAGAAGGCATCCAAGGGAAGAATTACCAAGCTGTGGGACTGCATGTCTGGAAGGTAACTTGAACATAACTTTGCAAACTTCTGGTTGAGGCCAAGAAAAAAAATTCTGAAAAATAGGAACATTGGATTAAATAATTCATGTCCTACAGCAATGCCAAGTCAATCATAAATTTAGAGAAGGCCTGTTAGATTACTGTATTTCATCGAGCTACTGCAGGATTATTGCTTACAGCATATTTACCAGTGCTTTGTTCAATTTTGTTTTTAAAAGTACTAAACAATGAAGCTTCTGCTACTTCTCTGCAGAGACTGTTTTGTTAGGGTACTTGAACCAATTGGTGCTTGAACTATTAGGAAGTTTTTCCCTAGATTTTTTTTTCCCTTTCTTAATTTCAACTCTTTAGAGTTCAAACTCATTAAAATAGTCTAGGAAAATCCTACCCTCTCTGATGCTCACACCTTTCAAATCCCGTAGTTACTCACATACCGCACACATTGTTTCCCTGAAAATTAGCCATTCAGAATTGGGGGTGCATGTCTTAAGTGAGTGTCCATTCCTGATGAATGTTAAAGTGTCATTAATGTCAGTCTCACCTCAATTTAAGTAATCAATTAGTCTCAGATGGTTATCACCTTCTCCGTAAGGGTTTCCTTTTCTTTTTTTTTTTTTTTTAAGGTAGCCATTGCTCTTCAGCTGGCTGGCTGAAGATTGCCAGGACCCAGCTGGCTGGCTGAAGACTGCCAGGACCCTTGATGCAGTATTTTGCACACCCACACTCTTGCCTGCCACAGCTTGCTGATAAGGGAGAAAAGAAGAAATGTCTGGGTGTGTAGCTTCTTGCACAAATTGGTCCTTATGTCCGCCTTAGTATAGTGAAGGCTCCACCAACCCCTATACCCTCTTCTGTTCAACCCGGTGTCAACTTATAGTCCATATAATCTGCCAGAGTCTATCAGAGTCCTTCCTATGCCTCTGACTCAAATAAGTCACCACCAACTTCATCCTGGTTAGCCTCCACCAGGGCCTTAGAAAATGAACTGACTTGTGTTTAAACAGCCTCCTGGCTTATGTGCAGATAGTTACTCTTCACTATCGCTCCATGTCTAGGAGGGTTCTTCCCCTGTTCCCAGGTGGAGAAAACAAATTTAACTTATTCTGTCCTTCTATTCGTATCTTTATGGTACCTTCTTCTCAGTCATTCTATTCAGGTCTTTACAGTTCCTCCTTAGAAAATGAACTGACTTGTGTTTAAACAGCCTCCTGGCTTATGTGCAGATAGTTACTCTTCACTATCGCTCCATGTCTAGGAGGGTTCTTCCCCTGTTCCCAGGTGGAGAAAACAAATTTAACTTATTCTGTCCTTCTATTCGTATCTTTATGGTACCTTCTTCTCAGTCATTCTATTCAGGTCTTTACGGTTCCTCCTTCTCAGTCCTTTTCACTGGGCTGCCCTGCTGAGTTTTCAGGTTACCTGAAAGCTGCTTTGTTTTGGCTTCTTCCCTCTCAGCTCTCTCACTAGAGCCAACTCCCTGAAGAGCCTTCCTTGCAGCCTCCTGGATGCTCTCAGCTGTTCCCGCTCTCACTCTATTGGATTCAGGAACTTCTGGTTCTGGTTGTTCCCCCTTTGTCTGCTTTGAGTCTCTCTTTATAGCGGAGCTCACATTCGTTTCTCCTCCCCTCTGGAAACACTGGGAGAAGAAGGATCCCTGTGTGGCTCTGTGTAGCTTTGGCGACGGGACAGCTGCTTGCAAGCACCCTTCCAACCCCGGTGTCTTACCCTCTGCCACCGGTGTTTCTCCTCTTCCCTTACAATGAGGAACCTGATTTCTGTGCTGGAATGGAGGCAGGGGAACCCTTGAGTGGTGGCAGAGGACTGGGCTCAGCAGTGGCTTGGCCAGGGCTGAATCTTCTGGCCGCACGGAGCGGGGGTAAAGTCCTGTTGTTAGCATCTTCCCACAGCTGCAAGGCCCAGAGCTACAGGTTTAACCCATTGCCGAATTGGTAGTAGCTGTGGGCCCTGCAGCAGGAGGAGTGGGAGTGATGCTGATAACAGGATTTGCCCCTGGTCTGTGCGGCCAGAAGCTTCAGTCCTAGCTGAGCCAGTGCTGCGATAGAGAAGATTGGAAAAATCTTTTTTGTTCATTCTGCCTTTCCAAAGCAAGGCATGACAGGCATACAAATACAATATGTTTTGTATGCTGCTTTTAATTCTTCCTTAGCCACTACCTTTTGTATACATGTTACTATTTTAATTCCGCTTACATTTTTTCATAACTCCAGTTTGTTTTTTCACTTTGATCACCTTTTGTTATTTTTTCCCTGGGCTTTTTCCAGTTTGTCAAATACTCTCTGATCCTGTGTGTGTGTATAACACCACACAACATTGCTAGAAAGCTTATTTCAGAAGAGCATAGTGGCAACTGTAAATAACTAGTCATTTATATATGCAGTGTTGCGCATCTGTGTTTTGCATACTCAACCCTACATCTGGTCTTCAAAACTTCACATATGCTTTATGCATGCACTTGATTACTGATCAGTGTCCTTTGGCTCATAAATATAAATATTTGCCTTTGAGTTTCATTTGCACTATGTAAACACCTTATAACAGCTTATTTCTTCTTCTGGCTGTAAACATGAACAAAATCAGCAGTGCGTGAAGGATTTTTTTATGGTTGCCAAACTCTTAACTCAAAATACAAACAAAATGTTTGTCTTCAAATCTACTTTTATTCCCCAGATCACAGATTTCAGTGATTCATTGTTATACTGAAAATGCTTCAAGAGAGTTGAAGTGTTACTTCTCAACAGAGTCATGGCAGGCAGCTTTTCAATTCACTTTCCTTAAAAGAGAGCAAATTATTTTTTTTTTTATAATAGTTGCTTAGTTTGCATAATGAACAGGGTGGTCACATGGTGTTGAACTTCAGGCTACCAGAGATCTGATGAGATTTTCAAAAGTAGCTACAGTATACAATATATAAGTAGGTTCAGTTCCAATCAATTTTGTCAGTAGTCCCTTCAAAATGAGGTATTTAGACATCATGTCCTGGTTATGTTGGCTCCTGGGTGGATCTAATCTGAATGAAAACAATAGTATATTCATTTTTGTGTTTCCTTCGCATCTTATGATTCTGCCCCAAGTGCCTTCAGGCATGCTGGGCAGCGGGGAGGAAAGGGGGTCTGCATAAATCTGGTTTGAGGTGAACTGTTGCTTTTTGAAATGGTATAATATGCTCTATGGCCTGTTTCATTGGTTGGTGCAATGGCAAAGTGATGGACCATTTTCTTTATCTGTTCCTGCTCTCTGTCTGGCATTAACATCCACAGAGAACGGCAGAAAAGATCATAGCTCCCAATTAAATTCTGTATAGCATCTGTTGAGGAGCACAGAAACAGGGAAACTCATTGTATTGTCCCACCCCCAACATGCTCATCTTCACAAGAGCTATCCAGAAGCTGACTGTCAGAGATGAGTTCGGAAATAACCATTATGTTCTAGACAGTAATACACAAGCTTGTGTTGCGGTGGAGTTGGGATTTGACAGAATATTAGACCATCTTTGAACTTTTCATTAATTTTCCTACAATGTTCTTTTCTAGGTGGAGAAGAGACGGTTTAATCTGCCAAAGACCCTCTCTACTCCTCCTGTTGTAGGGACTGTGTGCCATTCCTATGACAGAGAAGTGCATGTGCGCTGTGATCTTTCCCCTGGTTATTACCTTGTTGTCCCCAGCACCTTTCTGAAGAATGCAGAGGGGCACTTTCTGCTTCGTGTGTTCTCAACAGGGAGAATCTCTCTCAGGTATGTTAAAAAAAGGAGAAGTGAAAAATCCATAAATTCTTTGACAATGCCAATGCAATTTCTACAGAGCTTTATAGTATTGCAAGAAGCTTTCAGTGACCAGAGTGGGGAGTGAGATGAAATACATAAAATGCAATTGTTAAGTCTTTTTTTTGTTCAGGTGAATAGTGTATCTATCTCCACTGGCCCTTTGGATGAGGTAGTAGTCTGCTAAAGTCCTCCTTAAAGTATCTCGTTAAGTTTGCATGGTTTTCTGAATTTCTTCTTGACCCAAGAGAAGAGCTTAGTGTCTGGAGAAAGTGTGCATTTCTCAGATGAACCACGTAGTTCTCTGCAGCCTGTATATCGTAGGGAATGTACTTTATCACACGCTTTGGTATGGTTAATATGACAATTTTACTGCTACACAATAAGTCCAGGCATCTTTGAGTTTTAGATTTTGCTCAGTTCTACGGTGTACATGCCTTATCCAGGGTAGATATCTTCTGAAACTTTATTGGCTATGGAGAAGGACTCTGCAAGTTGCATGGTTTTTGTTTTCCCTTTTTGACTTTTCCTCCCTACCCCAATTATAAATTTGAAAATTGAATGCGAAAACTTAAGTTCACTGAATGTTAAGGTAAAGAAATTAAGTGCACTGAAGTTATGAAAGTTATAAGTGAAGTTTCCTGACAAAACTCAGCATGTTGTATTTTTATTGGTGTTTTCTTATATGTTTATTCAATATACTGTGCTTATGCTTTTTACATTTATATCATGCAGTGTAACTAAATCAGTAGTGCTGTAGGAACCTTCATTTTTTACTTTTGCCTATTTGTTTTCTTACCTGTAACATTCCAAAAATGTGTAGGTTTTGTGTTTTAATTATATCTGTATTTGGCAATAATTGCCTGTTAATGGACTTTTTTCCCAACTGGCAACAGTTGACCTTTTTTGACATTTTGTTCTGAATGGTAGCTTGTTTTTGACAGCTGGGCACTGGGGATAGTGAACTACAGTCAAGGAAACCTTTCATAATTTGTACATCAGTTTCCCTTTCTGTCTTACATTTGATAGTGAGATAAAACCACCACCCATTGATGCTGCCCTCTGTGAAGAGCTCCCACCAGGTGAATGGGAGACAGTGCAGCTGCAGGGATGCTGGAAAAACGGTCACAGTGCTGGAGGTAGCAGGAACTTCCCCTCCTTCCATACCAATCCCTGCTTTCCCCTCTCCATCTCTGCAGGAATAGGAGAGAGTTGCGTGAAAGTCACCCTTCGCCAGCACTGTCAAGATAGCAAGTGTCATCCAATAGGGTTTCATATTTTTCAGGTATGATTTATCTGTGTTGAACTGACTGCTTCAGTTACCAGAGTAGATTAAATCCATCACTTAATCTGAGTGCCTAATGCCGCAAGGAATGGAAGTACATTTTAGAAGTCAAAATTAAGCCAAATCATAGTATAGATCTAAATTATATTAATACATAGTATAATCAAGTGTTATGACATAATGGTACATGACCGGATGCAGCAGTGATCAGATCTTTGGTTCCACGTCCTAATTTTAGAAACCCACCATAGCTGTTGGAATTAAAACATTTGAGGGTTTTGTTTAACACAAGCGCAATGGCTGCTTACCACTGAATTACATTATTAAAGGGGAGACTTTCTAAATTTGTGGAGTTTGTTGTTTTTACAAAAATGCAAACATTTCATAATGTCTTGGTGACTCAGTGCCCATCGTACTTTACCTGGGTACAGGCTCTTTCC